GCTAACCCCCATGGGCACCATAGGATGGTGGCCTACCTGCCCAGCTCTATAAAGATTCTCTTCCCTGGGAAGGATATCAGCATCCAATTTAGGTAATCAAAACTGTGGATGAGTGAGTGAGTTAGCTTCATTTATTCCATCCCAGGGTTAGTTTCACCTTTGTTTTTTAATTTACTATAAACCTGAGCACAGGTATTCAGAACATTTAATTAAAGCCAGAAAAGGTAGAGATGGTGCTAAGCTTTCAAAAGTGCTGCTTATTACATATAAAGAAAACATAATTATTCCACCAGGGTTTAGAAGTTTGTTTCTTTTAGTCTTGGTGATATAGCATGATTTAAGTAGCCAGTTGCATCACTTAGGATTAGATTCAACCACATATAACAGAAAGCCCAAAAAGCAGGCTGAAATAGGACAGGGATCTACCCTGTGCTCACGTGAAAGAGATCCAAGGGAGGAAATCCCAGGCACAAAGCCTGGTTCTAGGGTCATAGACTCTTCTTGTGTGTCTGCTCCAAGTTCCTTAGCATATAACTTCCATTCCCAGACTTGCTTTATGGTCATAAGATAGCTGCAAGAGCCCCAGCCCTCACATCTATGATCCAGGCAGCAGGAAAGAAGAGTCTCTCAGTTGACTCAGCCCCATGAAAAGAGCTCCTTCGGGAGCCAAAACCAAAGACTTTGGCTTATATATCATGAACCACTCCTGTCTGCAAGAGAGACTGGAAAGTATGTTTTATCAAAGCACAGCACTGTCCGCAATAATATGAAGTTCTACTGGCAGGAAGGAAGGAAAGAATTGGGTGATCAACCAGCTGTCTCTGCTTTACCTGCTATGCCCTCTCCTGGCCCTGTCACAACTCTTAATCACTGGGGTTACTGGTGGAAGATGGACCCTCAGGGGGAAAGTTCCGGCACCCGTAAACTCTCAGGCTGAGTGTGTGTAAGGCCTAACCAAAGGCCTGACCCACAAATATTGTGATGTATCCTCTGCTTTTATGTAATTGCTTCTCTGCTTCTTCGTGGTCTGAACCTGATTTACCTCAGACCAATATTGTGTATGAAGATTTTCCCTCAGGTCTAGAAAGGACCTGAGAAGGAAGTGGCTGAGACAGTGGTGCTGTGGCCCTTTCCGCTTTGACGTGGTTGGGTGTCCACTAGCTCATCTTCTTCAGGCCTGGATACTCCTGTCTCTGGTGTAATCATGATGAAAACTCACAGGAAAACAGCTCGGTTCCCATGTTCCCTGAGGACAGAATGATGGAGAAGCATAGAGTGGTCTTCATGGACCCTGACTTACAGTGAGTGTGAAAGCCAAGTAGCTCCCTACTCAAGTCAAGTTTAGGCCACACTGAACAAGTCACATGAAAGGTGGAATCTACCTCATGGACACCAGGGGGGAGATCCTTGCAGAAGAGTTCATCTTCCCTCATTTCGAGGGCACCTCTCAGCCCATTTTATAGCTGAGGTTAAGTCGCCTGCCCTGAGGCACCCTGCTTCCCAACTTCAGAGAACCACCCTCCCCATGAGGAGCCTGGCTTTCCATGAAAGTGTTCTGAACACCCAGGGGCCCCAGAGCCTGGCCCTGACTTCTAGATGCTGGGTGAGGTGAGTGGCCTTCGAGAGGCAGTTCTGCAGCTGGCCACCCGCTGTGGGGATGCTGAGGACCTTCAGGAGATCTCTGGGCGCCCCTGTTGAGGCTTAGGTACCAGACTTGAAATAAACTATAACAAAATGTGGGATCCATGACTATCGCCATTGTTATTAATTACATTGGCTACAGACTCTCCGTATCTCCCACAATGTTTTATGAGTTTACAATGGAATTAGGAGGGGCTTTCAATGCCGGGGGAGGAGGGGGAGAGGTAATCTAACTTTGATTTTATCTTAGTTTTTTCTTCATGATTACTTTTACTGAGTGTTCATCAAACAAACAAGCCCTCACCATGCAATGTCTCGGACCCCTAATTAGACATGCCAAGAAGCCAGACAATAGCAGCACCACAGAGCTGAATACAAAATAAAAAGAATATTTTCATAATGACATTAGCAGAGTGACTGCTGATCAGAGAAGTTTCCACAAGTCAGAGAAGCCAGGGGAGCTCACTGACTTTCCAGAGGAAAAGTCTGCTAAGAGGAAATCAGTCTCCAAGAAGAATGGCAAAATGAAGAACCGGGCATCTAGACAGCACTTTACAGTTTATAAGGCATTCCGTTGCACCATTCTCTCGTTTGAGCTTTCCCAATCACTGAAGTGGGAAGGAGATTATTTTATAAAAAAAGAAAGCAAAGCTCAGAGTGATGAAGTGTCCGGCCCAAGAACACACAGCTGGACTCTAGACCAGGGATGTGGGCAGAAGAGGCTGGGCCTCTGGTGCCTTGATGTTCTGGCACTCTCTCTGGTCCCCAGATACCCAGCGGCAGCCTGTGGGAGGAAAGGGTTCTTCCTCCTCCCTTAGCAACCTCGGTGACCACCTCGGAGGCCAGGACCTCAGGGTCTGGTCCCTAAGAAAGACACAGCCTCCAGGGACGCTGCCAACATTTTGCACCCGTACCTTCACTCCGCTCTGTGCTGCTCCAGAGGCATGCGGCCACGGGACACAGGCGCTCACCTTGCTGACAGAAGAAGAGCAGACAGCAGAAGGTGAGAGAAATCCCTCCTCCACAGTCTGCCCCACCCACCCCACACAGTCTGGCCTTGCTTCCTCCACAGCTGCTGCCGTCTGGGGCAAGTATCTGCATGCCTCTGTTTACTCACCTGTAAAATGGGGAGAAGAGCATCTTGCCTTCATCCCTCCCACTGGGTGGCCAGACATGGGAGCAGCGGTAGCCTGCTGGTCTAGACAAGTCTGGCACCCGGCTCATCCTCCTGACCTGTTCTCTGGGAGCTCCCTGCTATGGCTGAGGGCCCTGCTCCCATCCCAGGCTCCCAGGACCATGTGGGTGGCTGTCAGCAGGAGGATTTGCAGGTGAGGTGGTCAGTGTCATTGCAGCTGGCCCCCAAGCCCAAATGCTGCAGGTCACAAGCGTGTCTTTGGGTGTGAGTTGAGGCGGCCTCTGTTCCTTACTTCATGATGAGCGAAGTGGCAGCTGTCTACCTTCGAGCAAACAGGCTCTGCTCTCTAGGAGAGCAGAGTTCTAAGTCCCCACCCGGTTTGCCTCTCCGCATCCATCCAGCAGTTGGTAACAGAACTTCCTCCGCAAATCTTCAGACTTGTTTTTAAGCCTGGCACAAGTGACGTAAGTTCAACCATCCAGGATCCCCCAGAAACTCTTGGAATAGGAGTTCAGCTTAGAAAGCTTGTCCAGTTACAGCCTGTTCATGCTTGGTGCCCCCGCCAGCCTTGGGGCCCTGTGCTCAGGGCAGGGAGAATCTGCTGCAGGACCCCGCAGGCCTTCCTGGGCCCAGACACCCAGACGCTGGGGCTCAGCATCCAGCCGGGGGCCCTGACATGAGACATCCACCCACGTGTTTCCAAGAGAGCTGAATGGGGGCCACAGGGCCAGTCAGGCCGGGCAGGGGGCCCAGGCACCAGTAGGAGCAGCTGAAGAAAGAGGCAGCTTTGCTCTATGTTAGTGAGCCTGGCATCGAAGGCAGACTCACTGAGGCGGGTCAGTCCCTAACTGAAGGAGGACACCCATTGTTCCCTTTCCCTGCCTCACCTGTGCATTCTAACCCACACAAGCATAGGACCTTTTCACCCCCAGCGGGCAGGTGATCTGATGAAGGGTTTGCACAAGCTTAACAGTGTACTTACCCCGCTCTCTAGGACACCCAGTAGCACAGCAGTGAGGAGGGAGAGAGGAGACAGAGATGGGCCCCGGGACGGCACCGGGCGGGCAAAACCAACAGAAAGATCAGCGGGACAGTAAGGAGTGCCTCCGTTTCCCGTCTCGCTATTGAGATTACTCACTGAAGGAAATAGGCTGAGGGGCTGAGCCTAACTGGGGATTAAACCCCCGCTTTTGTTGCGGAGTTCATGCCCCACATCCTTGTTCCAGAAACCTGAGGTATGACAAGCATGAGAAGCCACTTCCATGTCTCAGATGGGACCCGGGGCAAGTCCCTGGCGTTGGCGTAGCGTTTCCCAAAGGGCAAAAGGAGAGGCGCTGGACAGGCCTCTTCTTCCCTGGGAAATGATGAGCAACCTACGGGACAAAAGCGTCAACTCTTAAAACACAAAGCTGCAAAGATCCCACGTGCTTTCTTTGTTTTTTCATTCGGTTAAAATGAGGTGTAATTTATGCGTTTTAAAAAGTCAAAATAATTGCACCCAGGGCCCTGGCAGAAGGGCGGGCTGCGGCTGCTGAGGTCAGAGGCCCAGCGCGTCGCAGGAAGGGCCAAACGCTTTTCCTGGCCTTTGGGCCCTCGGCGTGTGAAGCCCCAGGGCCACGGGGAAAGTCGGGCCATCTGGACCAGGCGCGCCCAGGCGGCGGTCAGGGGCCGAGTGGGGCGCTCGGCGGGCGTCTGTCCTGAGAGCTGGGACCAGGCGGCGGGACTCCAGGCCCCCAAGCACGTGGGCTGCGAAGCAGGGGCCGCCCAGCGGGGCGCTCCGACCCCTGACGCGGCTCGGGGAGCGGGGCGGGGGCTGGCGGGGTGGGGGGGAGGTGCGCATTCCCGGAGCGCGGCGCCACCGAAGTCAGAGGAGTGCGCGGAGCGGCGGCGGGCAGGGGGCGGCAGGTGCGGCGGGGAGCGCTCGCCCGACTTCGGGGAGAGAGCCGGGCGCTGTGGGCCCCGGCGCCCCCGCTCCCTACCCTGGCCCGCTGCCCGAGTCCTGGCACTTCCGGGGCCCGGCGGCGCTTCGGGGGAGCTCCTCCAAGGGCAGCCTCCGGGGGGCGGGGGAGCGCGCGGCGCGGTGGCCCGGCTCCCGCAGGGGCTGCGGGCGGGGTGGGGTGAGGCAGGCCGGCCCCCTCCTCTCCCGCCCGCCCTCCCTTCCTCCCGCCCTGCAGCCAATTAGACGGCCCCCTTGGGCGGGAGGCGTGGGTCGCTCCATAAAGCGGCGCGGAGCTGTCACCCCGCGAGCAGGCTGCGCACCATCCGGGCCGGAGCCAGCGCCACAGACTCGGGCGCCTCGGGCCGGGGAGCGCAGAAGAGCCATGGCCACCACCAACGGGGCCGTGGAGAACGGGCAGCCGGACAGGAAGCCGCCTGCCCTGCCGCGCCCTGTCCGCAACCTGGAGGTCAAGTTCACCAAGGTGAGGCGGGCGCCCATCCCACCCGACGGTCGCCTGGCTCCGCGCTGGGCTGGTCCGGCCGGGGTGGCAGGGACGAGGAGCCAGCAGGCGGGGAGCCCAGCCGCTCCGCTCCGAGGGTGCTGGGCGCTGCGGGCGGCGAGCCCTCAGCCGAGTTCGCCCGGCGCTCCCGTGACCGGAGCCTCTCCGCCTGGGTCCGGCCCTCTCGAAGCCCGTCCCGCGGCGCAGGAGCCGCCCGGCGCAGGAGCCGCCCGGCGGGAGCGCGTCCACCGCGCACCCCGAAGGGGACTCCGCCATCCGCACTCCGGGACGGGCTCTCGGGCCGCGGGGCTCAGCGCTTTAAGCCTCCAAGCCTGGCGAGGGAGGCTGCGCAGCGCCCGCGCCGCTCCGGGCTGCGGCCGGCGCGGCCCCGACGTGCCCTTGCAGGGCCCGCTTGGAAGGCGAGCGGAGGTGCGGGTCGCGGTACCCCTGGTCTGCCCGCAGGCCCCGCGGCACGGTTTCGGGGGCTCAGCGGGTCGGGCTTCGGGAGGGTCAGAGGGTGCCTGAGAACACCGAGAGTTGTTCTGAGAGCTCGGTCTGCACTGGGGAGCTGCGACTTGGAGACTCCAGAACCGTGTCATCGGGAGCACGGGGCGAGACGTCGTACCTTCGGTGGTTGGCCTGCCTAGCTTACCAGTAGAGCCCGGGGGGAGTAGGAAGGTGAGCACTGCTGAAACTGCCCCGGAGCCCCGCGGCCCTGGTGTTGACCGACAGAGAATGCTTCCGGATGGTGTCCGAACCCGGCCTGGGAAGCCGCGGGTGGCCAGGCCCCACCGCGCCGCGCCCCCGTGGTGTCTCTGCTGTTTTGCGCTGGGCTGGGAGGCTGGACCGTCGGCAAAGCGGTGAGATCACCTGCCTAGGGCAGAAAGGAAGATGGCGAGGTCTGGAGCCCAGGCTCAGGAGGGCTGCCGGCAGCGCGTCCCGTGGGAGGACACTCGGAGCCTGTGGACTGGGGCCGGGAGCACGGCAGGGTCGCAGGCCGAGAGCCTCGGCTGGCTTCTCTTTCCCCCACTTTCCCTCCTTTTAATTTTTTTTTAATTTGCATCTTATCCGTACCCTCCCCCCCAACTCCAGCTGACACAGCACTGAGAAAATTTCCCCATCAATTTTACTTTCAAAAGTAGCAATTATGTCTCTCAAATAGTTTTAATCAAGCGGAGAAAGTTGCAGGCCACTATGTGTGGCCTTCAGATTTTGGTCTCTTGGCACTTCATGTCGGCTCTGCCTCTGATCACATGACATTTAAATTAACTGTTTTCAGAGGGCTCCGTAATCAACAGAGACACTTCACCATAAATGCTGGAGATTATTTTTAATGTAGTTTCCCTAGTGGTATCTGCTTCAGAGCGAAAATTCCATTACCCATTCTGGGAACAGTCAGAATAGTACCTACCTCTTTTCAGATCGTTAGGTCAGATCGTGCTGGTCTGGTGGTGGTGGTGGTGGTGCCGTTTGGTTTTATTTTTGTTTTGTAAGGTTTTTGTTGTTTAATGCTGTAGAAGCCGGAAATTACTGTTATTGTCCTTTGCCGTTCTACCTTTCTGAGTCCTATCAGAGCAATGCAGCCACCTATGGATAGTTTCCTTCTTTCTCTGCGATTCTTTATGGCCCTTCACAAGTGGAGAGAGAGGAGGATCTTAGCGGATTCACAGAGCGAATTCACTTCACATGTCTGTGAAGTGTCTGTTGTCTTGCTGGGTGCCCCCTCTTCCTGGTGGAGCAGAACTGGCTGTGTGATTAAGGCTGGGGAGAGGCGATGAGATGCTCAGGGGCTCCCAGGCCATGAAGGCTACTAGGGCCTGACACCAGGCCACTGTACCCCCCTTCCCTGTGGAGGGTGAGGCCTCCAGCGGCTCTGTCCTTGCTCCCGGCCCGCAGGCTGACCACTGCAGAGGCCTACCCCAGCAGCTGTGGGGCCCAGGCAGCCTGCGGGGTGGTGGCCGAGGGACAGCAACCCCGGCCAGCAATGCTTAGGGAGCCTCTGGCTGGAGAGGCAACAGACAGAGCCTAGGAAAGAAGCAGGAGAGCCAGAACTGAAGAACCGAGGCCCAGGGCCCGCAGTGGGGCAGGCAGTGGGGCGGGGTGGAGTGCGAGAGCCCCTTAAAGGCCTGTTAGTTTTCAAACCTGACTCATGGAGCTTCTTGCTAATGGAGGACACGCCGGAAATGGTGGGTCTGAGCCCCAGCCTTGGGGATACCATTTCCCAGCAAAAGTCCAGTTTCCAGAAGGCAACCTTGTCATAACTTCTTCATTTGTTCTCACATTTTTAAAAGATTTTATTTATTTATGAGAGAGAGAAAGAGAGAGCAAGCGAGCATGGGTGGGGGGGCAGAGGGAGAGGGAGAAGCAGGCTCCCCACTGAGCAGGGAGCCCAAAGCGGGGCTGGATCCCAGGACGCCGAGATTGTGACCCGAGCTGAAGGCAGACGCTTAACTGACTGAGCCACGCCGGTGCCCCTATTCTCACATTTTCATACTGGGCTCTGCTATGGGACTCCGGAACGGGGGGGGGGGGGGGGAAACCCTTCGGCATCCCCGCCCCGAACCAGATCTCAGAGGATAGCAGCCTCTTTCACTTTGGGGGGGGGAGGTCCTTTCCTTTCTTTAGAAAATGTCTTCCAGTAACAGAGATTCTCTTTAAGAGTTTCTGGTTCACTCAAACACCCGATTTTCTGATCTTTTTTATAAAAGCTACAATTCGCTCCGATCTCCTGTTCTGGAAACATAACTCCTTTGGGTTTAGCTGTAGTCCAGTGGAAGTTACTGTAAATGGCATCAACAGACCTCACTTGTGTGGCCCCATCTTCACCTTCACCCTGGGGCACCTGGCTCCTGAGAGCTGCTGTGGTTTCCAGCTCAGCCCGGGTGACAAGCCATTCCACTCCTTCAGTAAAATGTGAATCCCAGAACCTAACTTTTATACCTCCGTAAGGTTTATCTGATACCAATTCACAAGTTGAGGAGAACAGTTTTGTTTTGTTTTCTGGACACGTTAACCTGATTTGGGGCTGAAAACAGCATAGAGAGCATCACTGGTAGTCCACACTTACCCCTGCTTTATTTGTGATTTTGTTTTGTTTTTAGTGGAGAGAAAATCAACAGTAGAAACCACTTACAAGATTACTTACTAGCGTAGTATACAGAAAAAAATTTTTGCTAAATTGGCAACCTAGCGATGGGAAAATAAATGGTCAGAGTTGAGGAGTCTGACTTTTTTTTAAGTCGCTCATTAGGAGGGACTACAGATCAATGTCATGACCGACCAAGTAATTTTTTTTTTTTTTTTTGGAAGAACATGCTTGGAGATGAAGTGTAACAGACATCTGATCGTTGCAATCCGTTTCCATCCTCCTTATTTATATTCTCTTCTACCATCTTCTCACTTTCCCTCCCCCTTGGAATTGATACCAGGAAGGATCTAGAATCAGCAGTTTTCACTGATGGTCTGTATTTTCTAACCCACGAAATTTCATCTTCCGACAAATGGGCCTCTCTCTCTGGCTGCACTTCCCTCCCCACGCTAACTGAACCTCTCTTCTCCACTTATTAATTTCTCGCTGTTACCGGCTGATTGCTTGCTGGATGGCAAGAGTGAACTCTTGGATTTGGTTTCAGCTGGAAGAATAAACCTGTAATTGTAGCCTGGCCGATTCCACGTGCTTCCCTGGGGGCCTGGCCTCCTGTTGAAGGCACTGAACTTCCAGAAGTCGAATGGGCACATCCTACAGGCAAGGGATGCTCTCAGCTCTGGATTCCACACGCGGGACAGGGTGCCTCTGCCCACCTGCCCCGCAAGATCTGGCCTTCTGTGCTTTGTCCCCGCCCGACTGAGCCTTCCCTGCTTTGCGGGGAGAGTGATCAAAACAGTCTCCCCCAGCAGCTTCCCAAGGCAAGTTTCTCTCCCAGTGAGCTTTGGAGTTTTTACGGGAGAGCCCAGGGCAGAGACCGTAACCAAGCTGCACTCTGGATGAGATGGTCTCCCCTCTTATCATCACTGGGGAGTCAAGTGTTCTAAATGAACAAAATTCACAGTAATTGGAATTAGCCCTCGGAGGGACACGATTCTTTTACATGACTTGAAGAGAGACAAAAGATATGCCTATAGATACAGAAATGGAATTCGATGAGCTAGGTGTGTACTTAGAAATTATTGGTAGCATTTTGTTTGATGGAAATGCTTCTAAAGTGTCTTCCTCATGTCTGTGACTGGGGTCTCTGTGACCCCATGAAGGGCTGTGATGATCAGCCTGTCCCACGCCGGTACAGCAGCAGACCATCTGGGTAGCCGGGACCTCCCCGTTGTCAGAACGTGTTTTGTGTGTTGTCTGTTACCTCTGTTCCTGGTTCTTTTCTGAAGGCCCTCTCTTTGAATGTGGTGCTTTTTTAAGGCAGTTAGCAGTTAGAGTAAACTAAGAGTAAATAGTACACACCTTTCAGCGTGGGAACTCTGTGAATTCCTTTTAGTTTGCTCATGATGTCTTTTTATTTTTAACGTCCTTGTTCTCAGCTGTGTTCTAGATAATTGAGGCTCCGAAGTGATTTTTGTAGGTTCTTTGGTTCTAGATAGAAACGGTTATTTGCGACATCTGTTCATACAACCAGAACATTTCCCAGCCCAAATATCTTTGTATTCCAACACGGGCTTTCATTAAGGCCAGCGTGAAAATAGGCATTTTAAAGAGAATGTGGGAGGAGTACCGATATACACCAACAAAGATTAAGAAATATAGTAAGATCCTGGTAGAAAGCCAGTTCCTTGGCAATCTGGCGGGGGTTTCAACAGGGAGGAGACAGAAGGGAGTGCTCACTGCTGACCTACGCTTCAAAGGCAGGAAGATCCATTGGCACTTTATATGTATAAACCTATTTGGTCTTCCTCCCAATGAGGGTGTAGGATTTAACTTATACACTTTAACTATTTAACTAGTCTCTTCCTTCTTGAATCCATGTTAATGATTTAAAATGGCTCAGTCGGTTAGGCATCTGCCTTTGGCTCAAGTCATGATCCCAGTGTCCTGGGATCGAGCCTGGCATGGGGAACCTGCCTCTGCCTCTCCCTCTGCCCCTCCCCCCTGCTTGTGCGCTCGCGCGTGCTCTCTCTGTGTATCAAATGAATAAATAAAATCTTTAAAATAAATAAATAAGAAGAGGACACGATGTTCTAAATAACTTTAGTTTCATTAGGACGAAAAGTAGTTCTCTGAAAATGTATGAGAAGTCAGGAGCCTTGGATTCTAATTCTGATTGTGTTCCTGGTTGGGCATGTGATTCCATCTCCCCTCCAGGTCCCATCTGTAAAAGAGTGTGGGGGAGGGGGGAGGAGGAGGAAGGAGGAGATGGGGGAGGACAAGACGTTACCTAAGGTCCTCAGCGTGTTGGAATGATATGATTTTGATTTAAGCCCTAATGCATTACAACTTCCTTTCCTGGTTAGATATTCATCAACAATGAATGGCATGAATCCAAGAGTGGAAAAAAGTTTGCCACATATAATCCTTCAACTCTAGAAAAAATATGTGAAGTAGAAGAAGGAGATAAGGTGAGTGCTGCCCCCAACTCCCACCACCACCCCCCAAGTAATTAAATTACAGGTAACTAGAGGATAAGGAGACCGTCTGGCTTAGCTGTAAGACAGACCTGGCCCGTACTCAGGTTAGGACCTGAGTTAGCTGCTTCTCACACACAAGGCCCAGAATGGGATCAATTAGGGACGATCCACGGCAGAGAGTCACTCTCCTTTGATAGATGTTTCCCCATCTATAAGGATGACCTCAGCTATCCTCGTCACATGGCTGAAGGAAAGGTTTTTATCAATGATTCGAACCTGGAGGCATGAAACCCTCTTTCCAGAAAGCATTTCCGGCTGGTATGTTTCACCAAATGCAGCATTCTGGCAGGAGACACTTGAAAGAGAAAGGCTCGCAGGGAAAAAGACTTGCTAACCAAGTCATGCAGGGGTAATAACATCATGCAATCACCAGATTTCCTTTCTACCAGAACCTGAAATGATCACGGAAAGCTCTAGTCTTCATAACTATATATGTAGTTATATATATATAAGGGACTTCTGGTTGTGTCCTTGATACATTTCAAAGCCGGAAAGTACCTTTTATTTTTTTTTTTAAGATTTTATTTATTTATTTGACAGAGAGAGACACAGCAAGAGAGGGAACACAAGCAGGGGGAGTGGGAGAGGGAGAAGCAGGCTTCCTGCCGAGCAGGGAGACTGATGCGGGGCTCGATCCCAGGACCGTGGGATCATGACCTGAGCCGAAGGCAGACGCTTTTAAATATACGTGCCATTAGAGGAAAGTTTGGAGGTAAAGCTTTTCTAAGGAGAGAAGGGAAATCTAAACCTCTCCTCCACCACTAGAGTAATCATCTGATGTTCTTGTACATGTAGGGGTAATGTTGAATGTGGACAGGGTGGAAGACATGTCTAAAATAGGCTTGAATTGGATCCCACCAGTGAGAGTTCTCCGACAGGCAGGAAACACACAGTGGTTCTACCCATCCAGAACCTCCCATGCGCATGTGCCTCAAGCTAAGCTCTGTTTACAAAGGTAATAGCATCGAGGAGCTCATCTTTCTATGACGTGAGGACGTGGAGCATCTGGGGCGTGGGGGACATGATGTGGAGCAGGATTCCCAGTGGGTGATTCCCAGGTGCAGGACCCAGGTGTCAAAGAGGAGAATGAGATCCCTGCCCCAGGCTTTTCCCTTGGTCTGGGGAACTGCTCTGAGCACCCGGAAACAGACGCTGTCCTGTCCCCTGCAGCTGGAGAGGCCCTGGCCTCCACCCCAGAGCCTGGGACGAGGAATTCCAAGTCCTAATATCTCCCTTGCCAAAGCTTTCACTTGCCTCCAAGCTTTGGAGACACAGGCTCTTGGTGGAGTGTTCCTCTTGACTGCATCGGGCAGCCCCCGCCTGTTGTACTCTCCTAGGGAAGTGAGGCTCACAGGGGTCTGGGGGATGAGCCGCTGCTCATCAGCAACCAGAGCCTCGAACTCAAGTTCCTGCAGTAGGAATGGGTGACGTTCAACAGCTCTAAAAAGCTCGAACTTCTTGCCTTTTAAGAAGATTCCACTGTAATTCTTCTGTGGGTGCACAGAAAATCCAGTTTCTTGCCCATGGAATGGTGCAACACTTCTGCCCCCCTGGCGGGGGTGGGGGGTGGGGGTGGGTGGAGGTGGGTGGAGGTGGGGGGTGCGGTTGGAGGTGAGGCTGAAGACAGAGAAAAAGTTCCAGATCCTCCCTGTCTGTGGACTTTTCCAATGCGGTCAGTTTCGAGATCCCGAGAAGTGCTCCTGCCCCATTCTCACTATGGGACCACAGTCCTCAGCTTGAATAAAGTGCCAAGACAGACATTTCCCACCTAACTGATGAACTGTGGAAGTGTGTGTGTGTGTCCAAACTGAGCGAGCAAGTGGAAAATCTTTTCCTACTCGGGTCACCAAGAAAAATAATTAAGGTCGGTAGTCTTATAAACTATTTTAAAACGCTTTTATAATCAGAAGGAAAGCTCATACTTGGCCATTGTAGAAATCTTGAAAAAGACCCGAGATGTAAAGAAGGAAAACATCACTTGAAAGCCCCGGACGGGGTGGGGGGGGTGGTCCAGCCGTCTCGAACCTAGCTGCCACCTTCCGACTGACCGCCACCAACCCCCCTTCCCCTGCTGCGTGCTGGACGCAGCTCTGTGCTGTCCTCTGTAACTGACGGATGAGCTCTCCCAAAATGCAGTCACGACAGAAGGTGACACACTCTCTCTGGTTTCTGGCCGCTCAGCCTGACGTGGACAAGGCGGTGGAGGCCGCACAGACTGCCTTCCAGAGGGGCTCGCCCTGGCGCCGCCTGGATGCCCTGGGCCGTGGCTGGCTCCTGCATCAGTTGGCTGACCTTGTGGAGAGGGACCGAGCCATCCTGGCTGTGAGTACACACCCATGGGCGGGCACGTGTGGGACCACCTGGCCCCCGCGGGGCGTGGGGGAGGCCCAGGGCGCTGGTTTTGTGTGGAGATGTATGTGTCAGGTCCTTTGAGGCTAGGCCATATCCTAGTCCTACCTGTACTATGAAATTAACCTTTTTTTTTTTTCTTACATGAAATCTCTTACTGTTATATTGAACTTCATCCTAAGTGACAAGATCTGTGAAATTACAGGTTTAATGTGCTGGTATATTTTTTTCGAATTCCTTTTAATAGATGCCATCCCTTAACATAGAAAACATTGTTCCCATAGAACTTAAAAATCACCCGTTTCACCCTTGAACTGGGCAGTGGTGAGCATGCGCGGAGTGATGGTGAGGGCAGGGTAACCTGGTTATGGGGCACCTCAGGCTATGAAAGACCTCAGTTCAAATCCCAGCTCTGCCCCTTACTAGCTGTGTGACTTTGGACAAGTTGCTTTACTTCTCTGAGCATATATTTCTTTATGCGAGATACCAATAATAATGATTCTTATAAATGGTGTGAGGATGATCCACTTCAAATCCTTAGCAGAGTCCCTGGCATGCAGTAAGCACTAAATAGATGATAGCTATTAGGAACAGCAATCCTTGTAATAATGCTGCACGCCCAGCCGCATGCCGTCCTGGCCAGTAATTTCTAGGCATCTTAGCTCCTCTGCGGCAAAATAGGCGTGTGAATTCAGCCCGCTCCATGACATTGGGTCGCTCCCATCAGACCGGGGCTGTGAAGACATTTATAGGTTATAAATGCATGATTTACAGGGATGCTAAGACCTTCCTCTGGTCTTGCAGTGAGTGAGCAGAGGAAGTCTCAGGGCCACCTCCTGCCTTGAGGTCCTTCCCAGCCTACACACGCTGCCCTCCCACGGCTCTCCAACTCCTGTTTAGAAGTTGCTCCAAACCCTGAGGCCCGGTTGGTAGGGGACTAAACCTCCTTCTCAGCCTCTGATTTGAACAAACGGTTCTTTCCTCTCTTGATCTGATGTCTGGATCGAGCAGTAGAGTAGCTACCTTCGTGGAGACCACATCATCCAGGATGCCGAAATTGTTTTTGTGCCTGAATGTGTGTTTTGGGGCTGGAGAGTGGGGGAACCCTGTATCTGGGGTGCCACTCTTCGCTGCATCGCCCCAAGGGTGCGTCTGCACAGAGAGCTCAGCTCTCCTCCCTCCCCACCCCGCCAGCCAGGTCCAGCATGTTTGCCTCCGAGCCTGGGCAAGGGTGGCTCCCTCTCGGGGTCAGCGTTTCTGTCCTCAGAGCCTCTGGTTTCTTCCTGCAACGAAAGCCAGCCTCAACTCTCAAGCTGCCAGACTGGCTTTTTCAAAAACATTTCTGTTTTCACCCAGCATGAGCTCATCAGTCTGCAATGTCCGTGGGGACTAATAGCAGGCGGGAGAGGATGTGCCCTGGGCACCCCTCCCCACCCTGTCCTCAAGTGTCAGTATCATCTGCATCTGTGGGAGCCCGCCCCGTGGTCCTGGCAGGGCTGTGTTGCGATCGCAGATGGAGCGAGTTGCCTCTCGCCATCAGGACCTTGCTGCCCACAAGAAATAAGATCCGGCTCTTTGCCACATCATGAAAGGAACAAGAGAATTACTGGCAAATACGGTTTTTCAAACCAGGACCACATGATAGGAAAGCACCCTCATCCTCCACCTTGATTTGGTTTTCCTGCATTTTCCTGCAGCGAAGTGCTTCTTTCCATCATGTTCTCTTGCCGGCTCAGTGGTTTTGACAGAGCTAGGTCTTTACTTCTGTATTCGATGTTCAGAAACAGATGTGGGGGATGCGGCAGCCGCAGCTTTCTCCCCCTTCCTGAGGCACCTGGGACCCAGACTCTGGTTTTGTGGGTGCTCTTTCTGGAAGCCCCCAAATTGGGGCCCTCCCTGTTTACTCTCTTTCCAACCCAAGCCCTATTTCGGGGCCTCCTCGTTTTAAGCTTTTGGCGCACTCACTGAGTCTCAGGGCAGGTTCCCTCAGCCCTTTCTTCACTCTTTCCTATCTGAAGGTTACAGTATGTTAATTTTTCAGAAGGCCTATTTTTTCTCATGTAAAATGTCAAGGGAAGTAAACTGGGGAGCAGCTGTGGTTTACTCCCGGGCCAGCCCCAATAACTGTTTTAAAGTCCCCATCAGTAGCTAACATTTGATTTCTCACATCCAGCCCTGTCCGCTCATCTGTGAATCTTTTTCTGTGTGTTTAAAAAGAATTTCCTGTCTGAATCTAGTATGACCCCAGTTTTGCTTGGATAGCTTCCCATAGAACCAACCTGGCAAATTCATGTTGTCATGAGAGAGTTCTGAGAGGCAGACTTGGCCCAAGTTAATAATGAAAGATAGCCAACGCTTGCTGAATACTCACCATGGACCAGGCTTATCATAGGCACATTCATCATCCCATTTCAGAGATGAGGACACTGAGGCCCAGAGAGGTAGAGTAACCTAAGGCTATCTAGCCAGGACTGGAGGCAGGACTGCCCCACAATGCTATGCCAGGGTCCTCTGCCTTTCTCTTCCTTGTCCTATCCCAGAAAAGGGCCAAGAATAAACTCCTGGTCCCACTGAGAGATCTGCAGATGCTGTCCGGAGTAGCCCAGTCCGGGACCTTTCGGCATGATTTGCAACAGTTGGGTTTCCCATGGAAAAAGAAAAGTTTCAGCTTGGAATGTAACTCAACAGGAGCCAGAGTACGGTGTACTGGATGTTACCTTGGCCTGACTTGGTCCCTGAGCAGCATCCTCTAGGGGTGGGATCCATCCCAGACCCAGACCGGCCCTGTCATCTTCAGCAACTCACACTCCTGTCGCCTCGGTGTCCCCAAATAAGGATTGCCAAAAAGGAAGCTGCCAAAAAAGAAAGATGATCATAGTCATCCCGGCTATTAATATCATCATGAAGCAGTTAGCATGGCACTTCCTGTGGGCAGGCCCCGTCCTAGCCCTCACCCCAGCCCCAGGAGGCAGGTACCACTCTTATTATTATTCTTATTTTACAGATGAGGAAACTGAGTCAGAGAGGGATCTGGGGGCTTGCCGTTCAGTGAAGGAAGTGGTCGCTCCTGTTTAGGAATGCTCGGCTCCTCCCTGAAGCAAAGTTCTGAGAGAGTTGCACCGAGCACCCTGTGTAGCCATTCTATAGTCTTTCCAGATGCAAATGTCCTGGGGCAGCAGCCTCAGGAGTGGTCACTGTGCTGGCTGGAAGTCAGATGCCCCGAATTCAGTGCCCCGCTGGGTGACCTCAGGTGTCACCTGGCTCTGTTAGCCTTGGTGTGGGCACCTTGACGTGACAACAGAGGTGTCAAGGTCAGAGATGAGGCCGATGCAGGTGCACGCGGAGGGGCCTCTCCTCCCCAGTGAGTCACCATCTCACTGCATGGACTCTAAAAGGAGAATCCAGCCCCAGGCTACGTGTCCGGGTGGCCACTTCCTGCAGAGATGGATGACAGGCGGTTTCAGCGCCGGGCTCCACTGGGGCCGCTTGTCTGAGGGACAAAGGGGTCCTCTTAAACCCCGGGCTGGAAATAGAAAAGAATCCCTGCCATTGAGTGGCTGCCCACTCGCCCTGGGTAATCACCTCCCTCACCACCAAGGGTGAGCCTGCTCCCTTCCCACTGTGCATCCGGCTTGGGCAGCCCAGTTGGGGAGGACGGTGCCTTTTGTGCTAGTGGCTCTCCCCTTCGGGGCTCCATCGCTCTTTCCGCAGCCATGCTGGTCAGCCTGTGCAGGAAGGAGGAGCCCACAGCATCCCCCCTTTGGTTAGAGGACGCGAGCGCTCTCTCCAGCCTCCCTGAAGGCAGCTAACCTCCCGAGAACTTCCCCAGAGGGCGCACACCCTCATGGCCAGGTCACCCAGCTGTGCTCTGGACAGAAGACCGAATGCCACCATGTCTTCCCTCCCAGGGAGGCTCCACATCGGACTTCCATCTGCCCTCCTTCACGGGGACGCCTGCCCATGCCCTGGCCAACCAACCCCCCCCCCCACCCCCGACTGAGCTGTTTAGAAAGCAGAGTAATCCTTGACAGTCTGAGCCAGGTCTGATGGGAAATGCAGTGGCTTGCTTTCTGAAGGGACACATGGAACAAGGCACACGCAGTGTTCTAGGACTGGGCTCTCTACCCCCTGCCCCCTGGCTTTAACCTCCTGATGTCGAAGGAAATTGAGTCTGACACAGATGTTGTCTTTTTCCTGCAGACCCTAGAAACAATGGACACAGGGAAGCCATTCCTTCACGCGTTTTTCATCGACCTGGAGGGCTGTATTAAGACCCTCAGATACTTTGCAGGGTGGGCTGACAAAATACAGGGCAGGACCATCCCCACAGGTGAGCCAACGCAGGACTCGCAACCTCATCGGGGTGGGGGGCAGCTTTCGGGGGCTCTGTCTTCTCGTTGTTCCAGGTGGCCTCTCCAGAGCACCCTTGCCCCCCCTCCCCAGGGCCCCCTTCCCTGTCGCAAAAGGAAGCGGCCCTGTGCTGATTTCTCCTAAGGAACTTTGCTTTTAACATTGAGTTAAAGATCTCTTCTTTGTGGACTAGATAAGACTTGGAGCTGACACTTTTGTGGGCTTCTGGGTTTCTTTCTTGTCTTTTTGTGACATAAAACCCTCAACCGAGATTAATCCCATTGTCTTCTTCTCCACGTAACCTCTCTTCCAGATGACAACGTGGTGTGCTTCACCAGGCATGAGCCCATAGGTGTGTGTGGGGCCATCACTCCTGTAAGTATGGTGACTTTTCTAGATAGATCCGTGTAGATCCTGCCCCGCTCCCCTGTGGCCTCTAGAACCAGTTTCTGGTGTGTTTTGATTCGATCACACCGCCATTAACAGAGCATTTGCTCTGTGGCCTAGGGCTGGGTGCTTGAGAGTTAATCGGGATGGCTTAGCTCCCGTGCCTGCTCTCAGGGGGCTGACTCCTGGAGCACAACAGAAGGCACCATGGATTCCAGCCAGAGGGCTCAGGAATGCCCAGTTTCTCTAGGGCAGGGGTCTTTTAAGAGGGCCTTAAAGGATGAGGAAAGATCCTTCAATAGGAAAATGGGTCTTCTAAGCAGTAGGAATGGCCCCAGTGAGGGTGTCGAGGTGCCTGGGCTAACCGGTGGGGGGGGGGGCGCAATAGCAGGACAGCTGGTGAGGCCACACTTAGATGGAGACAGAGTGAGGAAGAGGAGGAGTGCATGTCCGGTGGTCCAGACTGGGCACCCAGTGGGCCGTGGCTGCCCGGACTTCATTCCCTGGGCAGTGGGGAGCCCGGCAGGTGCCAGGGAATGCGTTGATGCTGCCCATCTGTTGGAGAAAGCCCTGGGCCACTGCAACACCGGGCTGGGAGGCTGGGCAGGCAGGCGGCAGCATGGGGAGAGGCTTGGAAGTGCGCTCCGTGGAGACAAGGAAGATGTGTCCCTTCCACCAACCGTTGAGAGCCCGCGGTGTGGCAGGCACGGCGCCAGGGTCCCAGGTACCGAAGACATGCCCAGCCTTTGCCCCTGAGGAACTTGCAGGTCGGTTAAAAGGCTGAGGAAGGAAGCCCCGCAAAGAAAAATGCTAAGACAGGAACTGTTTGAAGACCAAGCAGAAGCATGGATTTGAAAGCTCCTAAGGAGGTCGAGCTGGTGGGGTTTAGTGTCTAATCAGAGGTTGGGGGTGAGTCCTGGCTGGAACTGGGCGGACAGTGTTGCTGGGGGATTTGAGGAAGACTGGAGAGAAGTGGGCTAGGGTGGGGTGCCGTGAAACATGGAGGTCATTCTGGGCAGATGTCATGGAGGGGCCAGTGGGCAAGCCGAGCAAAGGGTCCCATCAGGCATTTGCATATTTGGGTGGGTGGGGGGGCGCTCGAGAGAGGCGAGGGCTGGAGCTACCCATGGGCAGTGGTCAGGACAGAGATGTTTCTGCCCATCAAGTTGAGAGGGGCGTCATCCAGAGAGGGGTGGAATGAGAGAAGAAGAGGGGCTGGGGCCAAATCCCATACACTATCAGGGGATCCCACTGAGAAGTCGGAGCAGCTAGGATCAGGGGCATCCCAGGAATGGAATACATTTCCAGAAAAAGACGATGGTCAATAGGGTCCTCTCTTTCATAGGAATTAAAAAAGACAGAAACACAGCTGTTAGATTTGCTCACCAACAGTGGTGTGGGGGGCTTGGGGTGCAGTGGAAACCCCTTTGCTGGGGCTTACAGAAGGGGACCTAGGCATATGGGCACCACACTCCCAAGAAGCTTCAAGGAAAGTGGCAGAAGCCAAGGCAAGGTGCCGATTTGCTTGTCAGAGGGAGAGATGATGGTATTTGTGTGCTAAGGAGTGGGCGTCCAGGAAGAAGAGGGGACCCCAATCGTTAGGGGGCACCCCAAAACAATGCCTGCCATCATTTAGCCAAGCATATTGGCCTTTGGGAACTGGGATCTTAGGTTTGTTGTCTAGTGGTAGGAATTCCAGGCAGAGCTGAGACAGAAATCACAGTGGCCAGACCACGAGGTGGCCATCTTTGGCCAGCCCCGTGGGTGTAGCTTTGCAGAGAGCTCTTCTGTTTGGCGTCCTTGGAACATAAGGAGCCAAAGGGACTCCTTTGGGATGGGGGTGGTTGAGGGACAGCTAGAATCAAGCTACCTGCTCTCCTGGAGACGCTTGGTTTCATTTTGCCTCATCAGAGATGATACTCGGAGGGGCAGGGCAGTAGAGGGCAAAAACCTGGCTATGAACCCCGGCCTTTACCTGCTAGTTTGTGACCTTGGGCAAGTGACCTCTCCCTTCTGTGCCTCATCTGTAAATGGAGGTGATAACAGGACTATCTCATATGGATTGGTAGGGATCGAATGAGTTAAGTTTTTGTGAAGTGGCTGGAACAGCCCCTGGAACGGAGTGAACACCCAGTGGCTCTTCCCTCTTGTTAGGCTTCTTGTCACAGGTATCCTTGCCACTGTAGTTGAAAGATGACAAGAAACGCCATTTCCCAACACGAATTTCGCCCAACGGCAATTCAGTGGGGGCTTAGGATGTATTCTGTAAGAAGAGAAGAAGATCCTGTGACATCTGAGTTTAGGAGAGGCGGGCCTCATTCCTGCAGTATTTTTCAGATCCTTTTACATGTTGATGGCATTATAAACCTCCAAGAGAAGGTAGTGCGCCTACAGCAGAATCCTTTTTGCAAAGACTACTTATTAACATCTCCCAGAATGCAGTTCATTAAGCACAGGGCAGGAATGCAGGTCTGAACTTTGCACACTCCTATATTACCTCTGATGCCCCAAATCCAGACCATGCAAAGCAAATATCCTCTTTGGAGACATTGCTGGGCCTCTGGGACAGGGTGGCGGGGTGGATTGGGGCCCCCCAACTCCTCCGTGTTCTGTCCCTAGTGGAACTTCCCTCTGCTGATGCTGGTGTGGAAACTGGCGCCCGCTCTCTGCTGTGGGAACACCGTTGTCATGAAGCCGGCCGAGCAGACCCCCCTCACTGCCCTTTACCTGGGCTCCCTGATCAAAGAGGTAAGGCATCCGAAAAAGAAAGAAAATATTATGCGTCGTTGATAACATCCCCACTCCTAGGAACCAGGCCACCGTCACCAGATAAAGCTGCCCTGTCGAGCTGAGCCGTGCGTGACAGGGCCAGCCTGCTCACAGCTGAGTGGGAAGGGAATGGCTTCCTGTGTTTCACTTGGCAAGTGCGCTCTCTTTCTCCGGCTTGTGGTCACTGAGCTAGAAGAACCTCCATTCCTCCCACTGATCCTAATGAGAAGACTTTAACTCTTATTATGGGTTCAAACCCATGGTTTAGGAGCAAATGTTTTGTCTGGAGAATTTGCAGGAAGGTCACTTGAGAGGGAGCCAAGTATTTGGAGGTTCTCCGGGCCTTGCATTTGTGGTGTAGGAAAAGGCCCGTTGTTCTCTTGGAGGGGACATCTTGCAAGCTCCCACTGAGGGGGCTGCAGCAAGCCGGGCTCACTCACCCGAGCCTCTTCACCAGTGTTCCGCACTCAAGCCATTGTCCTATCCCCCCGCCCCCGCCGCCAGCAGCCACCGTGCCGGGAAACCAGTGGCCCAAAGAAACACCTCCTTCCAGACACACCTGGCAACATGCTTCAGCCCTGCCGAGCCCAGGTTGTGTGTTGCAAAGAGGTTAAAAAAGAAACAGGAAGGAAAAAGGGATGGGAGGAAAGATCCATTCATGTCACTTCTCAGCTGGGCTAATACGATCGGGAAGCAGGACCCTTACTGCTTAGAAGTCAGGCTAAAGCCGCCAGGAATTGGCCCGTTTCCCACTTTCCTTTTGACTGGGGAGGTAGGACATGATTACATCATATTAATGAGACTGACAGATTCTAAAATCACAACCATGAACGCACAGCACCGAGGAAACCTAAAGACTCGAACGCCGTGTCCTAAAATCTTGCCTTTCTAAAATAATCTGTTTTAATCGCACGAGATGGTAAATTTATTAATTGTTCACTAAATAGCATCCCCCCACCACCTTCATTTGTGGTGTTCTTGGTGAATAAAGAGGCCTTATAGGTGCAAAGCAGGAGGTGTGAATGTGAGAGAAGTGACTGTCCCCAACCTTCAGGATATGCCAGCTCTGGGCATGGCCCAGGTTCAACAAGGTGGAGCTTTGAGGGAGCGATACCGCATTGCCATTTGGAACATTGATGGGACAGGTTTAAAAAACGGGAGCTAAAGCTCAGGGAGAGGATATTTTGCAGGGGCTTCTGAGCCTTGGAGGATGTAACCCAGGTACCTCTCTTCTCCCTGAGAATACATATGTGTAGATAGATCCACACATACTCATGCACATGCACACACATGCACACGCACACGCATGCACAGAACGGAGCTGGGCTGTGAAGGTTCACCGCCATTTTGCTCAGAGGCTTTGGGTTATGAGGTGCTGCCTAGAACGAAGGGTGTATGTATGCCTCACCCTGGCCCAGCCTGCACACTGGGCCCTGGTTTCCCAATGACCCTGGCCCTGGCTTCCCAATGAGGGGGACATCCTACAGCCCTGGCTCTGTCGGCCGGAGCATGGTCTATGGTAGACATCTGTGTGATCCATTCTCCTCCTCTGAATGCCACCTCGATTTCCATCCAGGTTGGATTCCCTCCAGGAGTGGTCAACATCGTGCCAGGATTTGGGCCCACGGTGGGAGCAGCAATTTCTTCTCACCCTCAGATCAGCAAGATCGCCTTTACGGGGTCCACAGAGGTAACCCTCCTCACGGCTGTCAGCCAACGTGGCAGCCACTGTATGATCCAAGACCTGGGAACTTTTCCTTTGAGCAGCTAAACTATGATTTATTTATCCTAAGTATGGTCACGCTTCAGTGCATAACAATCGGAAAAAAAAAAAAAGGAAATAAATAAAGTCACTGGTCCAGTTTCCAAACTAAATAAATATCTAACAGAACTCAGAAGCCTTAGAAGAAAAGATTGGTAGATAAGATAAAATAAAAATGTAAAACATCCATAGAACAAACAACATCATAATCGAAGTTAAAGGATACATAGCAAGCTGGGAGAAAAACAGAATTTATGCAGCTCCCCAAGGCTTAAAATCCATAATATCCCAAAATTCAAGGAAAAAGGAAAAAAGAAAAAAAGCAAAAACAAAACCAAGCACACGGAATGGTGGGACAGTGGGTAATTCAGAAAAGAGAAACACCCAATGTCCAGTAAGCCTGACCTAGCTCATCGGTCATCAGGGAAATGCAAATTCAAATGAAAGTCGGAGTCTTCTTTTGTCCGCCAGATTGGTAAAACTTGATATCTGGTATAATGGAAGCTGTGGGAAACCAACGGGCCACTCACCCACAGCAGTCCCAAGGTGCAGGGCCATATTGTATTATTGATCCCAAATTTGAAAATGTCAAACTTCTGATTCAGAAATTCCATCTCAAAGCAACTAGTCAGAGAGAGGTTCTCATGAGCCCACCAGAACCCGTCTTCCAGTATACTGTATCCATTTTATACGGGGCGTTACAGCCATCACAATAAGGAAAACTGCCCGCTGTCTGTGGTTGAAGCACACACACACAAAAAAGGAAGCTGCAGGAAAGTAGTTACAGAATGATCCCATGGGGAAAAGTGTGTATGGAGAGAAATAGAAATGGTCTGTAAGGATGCCCAAGAAATTCTTCCCGTGACCACCTCTGTGCAGGTCCTGGGGCACAGGGGGAAGGGAGATGAACACTTTCCCCCTCTGCCCTGACACACAGCTCTGTGTGGAATTATTTCTAATCTTCTTCTGTGCTTGAGAAAGAAATGAATAATGCTTCCCAAGCAGCAAGTGTCCCCATCTCCCCACAAATTTAGTCCCTCCAGGAGCCCGAGCTGCCTTCTCCCCCAACAGCTGACTCATCCCGTCTCTGCAGAGACTCCTGAATCCCCTTCTCTAGGTGTCCGTAGGGCTGCCCGTGGGTCCAGTGGGGTGGTGCTCTCACTGGGCAGCCAACCTCAGGGACAAGAAAGTGGCCTCTGTGGTCCCAGGGATTGCTCAGCCGACAGGCATCTCCAGAAGGGGATGGGGTGCTTTCCCACCCTAGGTCCCCCTGCTGCATCTAGCCCTGAGAGCACACCTCAGCCCCACAAGGAATCGCCAGCCCATGGCAGACTGGTATTGCTTCTGTTGCTCTCTGGAGACAATCCCTGTCACGGTGGAACTATTCCAAATGTCATTCAGTCCATCACCTGGGAGCTGGCCAATTGTTAAAATGCGCTCGCACCTTAGTTTTGGGGAAACAGCCCCAGCCCTGCCTCTGGCTAGATGTCTGCTCTAAGCGTCCGTGTGCACGTTGGTCTCTTGAGAGTCTCTCCCCAGCTCTGAGTCTGTGGGGCCCGCTGTGTGATGGGCCAGGCCTCGCTTCTGGCAGTGCGTGGAATGATAGGAGAGACCCTCCAGGTATGCAAAGGAGGTTGGTGAGGGGTCCTGTTCCCGCACTGTGTACCGGTCCTCTCCCTTCGCCCTGGGGAAGCCTTGGTCTTGAGTCTGTTACGGGAGAATTGGCTCCTTCTCCTCCTGAAGGTCAGCTCCCCTATTACCATAACTTTTGGAGGTTCTCTCAGACTATACCAAAGAGCCACGCGAAACCACATCCCGCAAGCCGCCCCTGGGTCCCCTCGAGCCCTTTACCAGACTAGCTGGGCCGGCCTGCCTCCAGGAGGGACAGGCACCAGGACCAGTGAGGAGCAGGCTCTGCCACTAGCCAGCTGTGTGGCTATGGGCACATTGCTGGGCCTTCCAGGGCTCCCACTCCGCCCCTGTAAGTGGAGCAGCTCGGACCAAGGATTCCAGTGATGTCAAGGGTCCGATCCATGAGGAGATGCGGGAGAAGCCAGGGGGGTGGGGAGGCAGCCTTAGAGGCCTAAGGCACCTAGGCAGAGAGGCAGGGGAGCCCTCAGCTTGTCCAAAACATCCCGGCCAGGTCTGGCCCCACCTGAGGTTTCATCTGGTCTGTTTTTTATCCTGAAGGTTGGAAAGTTGGTTAAAGAAGCCGCCTCTCGGAGCAATCTGAAGAGGGTGACACTGGAGCTTGGGGGGAAGAACCCCTGTATCGTGTGTGCTGATGCTGACCGTGAGTCTCTCCCCTTCTGGGCGTTGCTGGGGCTCAGACAGTCAGTCCATAAGTCTCTCCCTGCTGCCTTGCACAAGCTCGGAACCAACTGAGACACACACACACACACACACACACACACAATGGCGATGATTTTCCCGCCTTGGATTGTCCGGCCGTAAGTAGGCAGATGGAGATCAAGACACCAGCCTTATTGCTCATAGAAAGCTGCCTTGGAGAAAAACGTGTCCTGTGTGGGGGCCGAGAGGCTGCCTGTCTCTGCCTTTCAAGATTAAGTTTGCGTTCCCCGTCCCTGGGGCCATGAGGAGCAGATCCAGACCTTCCCCAGCGTCCCCTGTGCAGGGAGATGGCCAGGAGAGGGAGGAACAGGGCAAGTGCTCCCCACTCACAAGCATTAATCATTCCCCCCTCCCAGTCAGTATTTCCTATGGTGCTTTTTGCGTCTCTGAAACTCGAGATGTTCCTTTCTTCCTGACAAATGAGAGGACAGTGGCAGCGGACCCTTAAACATACCCCCCAGTCTGGGTCCTGTCTCTCTCTCCACCACCTCTTCCCTGGGCAAGCAACCCCCGCCCAGTGGCTTGGGGGCAGTTTGTGTCTTGTTAGAGCTTTATGAAACTGTATGCTATTCTTGGCTGCTATGTCCAGAAGAAGGAAGAAGGGCCCACATCGGCATTCATTCACCTGCGGACAGGGTCCGCCCCCAAAAGGCGTGACTTCCCAGGTACCTTGAAACACCTTCTAGAACAGCCTCCCCACCTGTCCCCTGGTGCCAGAAATCCCTTTCATGGAGAACAAAGCTTTCCATTCCACACTCAGATAAGGCGGGCGCTGCAAATATCCCTGAGAAAAACAACCCTACCACAATTTCTTTCTAAGGTGTAAAGGACTGATATCACTTCCTGTCTCTGAAGCTGGCTTTCCACAGGAGAGTGAGTGGCCTGGGTGAGGAAGTAAGCTTCAGGGAAGGAGAAGGAAGGTGGGCATGAAGACAGACTGCTCCTTTGTCGCCTGGGCTGGTGCTCCCTTGTAGAAGCATCATTGGTGTCGCTACTGGTTTCTGGAACCACATAGAGCAGTTCTGGGCATTGCCCCATTTGGGGTCTTCAACTCCAGTCCTAAAGAGCCTGCACCCCTCTTTCCCGTTCTTGTGCCACCATATCTGGGCGCCCAGTCTCCACCTCAGCTCATCCTCTCTCCCCACCAGTGAAGAAAACTGCAGCTAAAACCCAAAACTCCCTCCTGTTTGGGGGTTGGTTTTTAAAAGGCTCACAAACGCCCTGCGGAGCCGTGTCCTGCTTCTCCTCCGGGCCGTGCCAGTCCACAGAATCCAATTCTGACAAAACTGGCACCCACGCATAATGTCAGTGATAACGTGCCCCCATCCCCCAACCCACCGACTGCAGCCACCACCCCTGGCTCCCATCAGGGCACAGGAAACAAATTAGTTCTTTTGGAGAAGGGGCAGTTTTAAGCTGGCACAGAGAAGGGGGGCGGGTGCAGGGCAGGCAAGATCCTTTGATGCTATCGGCTACTACAGGGACTTTCTATGGAAGACCCGGCTCGAAAGCAATGTCTCAGGCCTCAAAGCGGAGGGCAGCGTTCCTCCGAGGTGCCCAAGAGCGGTGCTGGGTGTCTGGATCGCCTGCCCGTGCCCCCCAGGGATGCTTTTTGCCCTGTGCAAAGGAAAGCTGCATTTCTTAAGCTGCCGTGTGCGTGTAGGAGGGCGGCAGGGGTGCAGGCAAACCAGCTCACCGTGGAGCGCTAGGAACCACACCCACTGAGCATTCTTCACTGCGAAGCACGGCCCCGAAGGTTTTCCTTACTAAGCACCCTTCTAGTTTTAACTCGATGCCCGCTGTCTAGTTCAGATCCAGACCTCCTGGGGCAGAATCAGTGCTTTCTTTTTAACCCGTATATATACGTCCTACGTGGAGTTAATGTTACTTAATAAGACTTAATAAGCAAAAGAAGCTGACTTAATAGGACTTGATAGTGAAGGAAACTCAAGGTGGAATAGCTCTCACCAGTTGGCCTCATCAGTGCTTACGGAAGGTTTATTCTATAGAACGTGGGTCCTCCAGAAAAGGGAGAGGGGAGGGCTCCAGGAACAGGTGAACCAGGGAATGCAACTCTCTGTGCTCCTCAGCAGAGTAAAGAAGTCCTGCACTGGTGGGGGGACTGATTTCACCCCACGCTCCTTTTGCCCATCCTCTCTGTTGGGAAATGCCGGGAATAAAATTAACTTCTGAAGCGCGGCCATTCCGGGGCCTGTTTGCTGGTGCGGGCATGTAGAGTTGCGGCTGTCAGCAGGACTGCCCTAACGACTTCATGGCTTCCTCTTGCCCCCGCCGCCCCCCTCCCTCCAGTGGACTTGGCCGTGGAGTGCGCCCATCAGGGAGTGTTCTTCAACCAAGGTCAGTGCTGCACGGCCGCCTCCAGGGTGTTCGTGGAGGAGCAGATCTACGCAGAGTTTGTCAGGCGGAGCGTGGAGTACGCCAAGAAGCGTCCCATCGGAGACCCCTTCGACGTCAGAACGGAACAGGGGCCGCAGGTAACCTACTGATGTGTCAGAACCCGCAGGGGGCTGAACCAGGCTCTGGCCCTGGCCCCTTACAGCTCTAGTGCTTTTCGATCGATTTCAGGGTCCCTCTCAAAGCAGAAGGGAGGCTGCCTCGCCTTGCCCCTTGCTTTCGTTTAGACACCAGCAACAGTACAGGTCCCATCGGGTCTCGGTGGGGTTATAAAGTGGGAGTGGACACAGAAGCTTTGCTCTTTGCGGCTGATAATGCCAAGCTCAGGGCCTCGGCAGGAGGGAGGCATTCCCAGTTCCTAAGGCCCTATGCCTGCACCCTCCAGCCAAGAGGACCGTCCAGTCTCTGAGCCACCAGGATCCCCAGAAGAGAGACTCAGGCAGAGGCTGTCTTACCTGGCCAGTCTCCTTGCAGAAGAGGGGTTGTAACCTTGGCCAAAAGGCAGCGAAGTACAGGCGGAGGCTAAGTACCTCGAGCCCACAGTCTCAGCCTCCAGGCCCTCCCTGGAGCTCACGTGCGCTATAGGACAAGGTGACCGTCAGAAACCAAAGCATCCCAGTGGAGAGGGAGTGGAGAGGGCTCAGGGAACAGGGCTGCATCTCTGGACAGGAGGAACACGTCTCCAGAGGCCTGGTTTTCGAAACTAACGACGGGATGAAAATGATCATAACCGCGAGGTTTAATAACCTCTTTAAAAGGGCACATCCTGTATCACTTTCTTACTAATTATGCAGTGCAGCAGATGGATAAATATTTAAAAGAGGGCAGCCTGACCATCCCATGCATTATTGAAATGGAGCTCGACAGCAACCCACTTTGCTTAGAGCCGAAGTCCTGCCCCAGCCACGAAGTTGCAAATCACGCGTCCAGACTCACCTACTTGTGTCCATCCCGGGAGCTCGCTGCTTTCCCGCGGCATTGGCACCACATGTTTCCATGGGAAGCCACGCAAGTTTGGCTCTGTGACTTTGTGAAAGGCCCAAGCTCCTGCCAAACCTCACTTTCCTCGTCTAGAAAATGGGAGTAATGGATGAATATTATGAATATTCCAAGGCACCTAAAAAGTTTTTATTTTTTAAAGGCGGGGGAGGGGGGAGCATTCAATGACAGGCTCCCTGATCCAGGGGGCCAAAAATGTGCATGACTTCAGGCCATGTGGATCAGGTCTTGCTTGACCATCCCATGGGGATGTCCTGGCTGGGAAAGGGGGAGGACCACGTGGAAAAGGTGCATTTCTGGCCACTGTGCCCATCCTTGCCTTGCCCCGGCCCACATGCACTATGGCTCCAATGCCACGTGACCCTGGTGGAGAGAAGCATCCCATCTTGTGGCCAAAACTCCCCACCCTGCCAGACCTCAACTCCAAACCCAGTGGCCAGTGACACGAAGTTGTCTAGTGGCCTTGGTTGGATTTCCGGTCTGAATGCAAACATGGCCACAAGCCATTATCAAATCCACCGTGATTGTAAAGCTAATCCAGACTCCGTGGGAAATATGCGAGCTGATCCCATACTAAGGAAACCTTTCACCCCATCATTATTCATAAGTTTCTTTCCAAGGCTCCAGGCTTGACTTTTGAAGCCAGATACAGAAATCTCTTCCAAGAGAGCAGATCCAAGCAGAATGGGTGTTGATTTCATCGGTGCTTTTGATGCTGCAGCTAAAAGTCCTTTTGAAAGCTCACTTAAGCCGCCTAACCTCAGCATATTATTTTAGGACGCTGTTGGATTTTTTTCTCCCAAAGTGCTTTTTCATCTACGGTAATAAGATTTTTACTCAGAGAGGATTTACAGCTGTCTAAATAGTCCTGTCTGTCTCCTGCCTATAAAACAGCTCACTGACCTAGATCAGTGTCCACTGCAGGCAGTCGCCAGCCGAATGCTCCAGAATCTTTCAGGTTTATTTGGCAACTGAGCAACGAGGCGCATAAACGTTGCGCAAGCCACCTGGTGGGGGCAGGATCCGATGCCCTCTTCAGCAGAGCCAAGTGCAGCTCCCGACCTGTCCTTTGGGGTCTGTCTGACTCTGTCCCTGGTGGTGCGCCCAGCCTCGTCCTTCACTTCTGGAAGGTTCTCCCTCCAGCACTGGAAGGCACCAGCTGACATTTCTTAGGGTATTATTAGATTGAGACAATGTGTTCACATTGACTCATCAGGAAGAGTGGAGTCTGGATATGCAGGCTCTCCATGGGGACCCAGCACTGCCCCCAGGACAGACAGGTAGAAAATGGTCACAGCAACTCAGGACCTGTATTTGGTGAAGCCCTACAAGCCCTCTTGGCCTCCAGGGAGGAGGAAAGGGCAGTCCTGGAACTTTTAACCCAAGACTTGGTTCACCCAGAGAGAAGTTGAGAGAACCTTGAGATATTACTAGAATCAGTGGAGTTGTTTGAATTACTTTTTTAGGTGGGAGTTCACAGGGGTTAAAACCCAGAACACATAGAAAGGTCAGTCGAGAAAAGGCTTTCTGCCATCCTCCCTGCTCCATTCGTAAGGCTGGTTCTTAATCTTCCCTCCATGGGTATCCATGGTCATAGTTTCTCATGTATCCCTCCAGAACTTCTTTATGGATATATAATCAAATATGAATATGTATTCTCATTTCCCCTATTTTTACCCAAAAGATAACTGTGATAGCTATCCTGTTTTACACCTTGGTTTTTGTGCCCTCGTAAGAAACCTGGAAGAGCTTTCCACGCTAGGGGTCGTGAGAACCTGCCTCATTCTTTTTCATATGTAAATAGAGTTCAGCTGTACGAATTCACCAGAATTCAGATAACATGTTCCGATAAACACGTGGGTGTGTGTGGTTATGCACAATGTCACAGAGTACATCATTTTGCACACGCACAAGGAAATCCGTGGGACACAGTCCTCAAGTAGGATTGCAGAGTGGGAGCCCATTTGTAATTTCTCTAAGTGTTGCCAAATGACCTTCCAAGAGGATCAACCGACCTATGTTCCTACCAGCTTTGTATGGGCTTGTCTGTTTCTCCAGCCGTACTGACAGAGCATGGATTTTGCCCATCTGATGCCCATCTGATCACTTGGTTTTAATATGCATGTGTGTCTTATGATGACTAAGGCAGAACATCTTATCACGTTTAAAAGCCATTGGTAGTATCTTGTCTATCAACTGCTCATGTGCTCTGCCTATTTTTCTCTTGTATCACTGGTCCTTTTTCTTACACTTCCAAGAACTCTTGAAACGTGAGGGAGATTAGCTCCCTTTCTATGATATGACTCGTCAGGTTTTCCCCAGTTTGTGCTTTTGCCTTTGACTTTGTTTACACAATGGCTTTGGCTTTTTCTTTACAGCATACTCAAATTTATCAATCTTTTCTTTTTGGTTTCCGGATTTCACGTCATAAAAAGACCATCAGCACCCCATGTTTAGGGAGGCTTTTTCCCACATGAGAGAATTTGAAAACTTCCATTTTTCACAGTTAAAGTTTTGATCTGTTTGGAATTTATGCTGGTACAAGGTGTGAGGTATGGATCCAACTTGGAATTTCAACACTGGATCCACACATCAGGAGATGACTGGTCCAGTGACTTGTACGGTTTGTGCCCACCGGTTCTGAGAAAGCTAGCCTGCCCCTCAGGAACAGACAGGCATCCAAATATACACCATTGGGTTTGCTTGTTTTTTTTGTTTTTGTTTTTTTTTAATTTTATTTAAAGTTGTTTTAATGAAACCAGTTTTTCTATCTAAAAAGCTCAACTACAGCAAACCTATCCAAACTCTGTCTCTCACAGTCAAAGGGAGGGGACTAGCAACAGGGTCATGTCATGGTCAAGAACAGGGCACTCATGGATTCCGAAAGAAGGACCACTGGGGATGGGGAGACCACTTCTTCCCTTGAGCACAGTATCCCCCAAAGGGTGCCCTTTGACATTTGGTTGAGTGCCTTGTCTATAAGCAGAGAATTAGGTGGGGGCGGGGGGACAGGGTGCACTCTGGCTCAGGAGATCCCTAGACAAGGTGGCAGAAGGCAGAGCCTTCCTGATCATCTGGCTCCTCACCAACAAGGAAAGTTCATCCATCTCACCTTCAAGCTCACGCCACTCTATTTCCAGGGCGGCTGGGTAAGATGGTCAGCTTTCCTTCTCCCTTCTCCTCTGTACCATGGATGGACAATTCCAGTAACTAGCACCTTCATCCATCGTGTCCTATGAGAAGGGAGCAGGGTTTCCAGATAACCTTCGTGACACTCAGTAGATTGGAATTCAAATAAGCAAAGAAGATTTTTTTAGCATAAGCCTATCCCAAATAAGGAAAGACTTTTTAGCATAAGCATATCCCAAACATTATGCCTATGCTAAAAAAGTCTTTCATTGTCTTTCAAAAATGCCAACTTAACTGGGCGCCCTGTGGTTTTATTTGCTAAATCTGGCAACCCTGGAAGGATGCAAAGAGTTGGGAGAGCAAAGTGACCACTCCAGATCTTGTTTCATTCATGGATTTGCTTAACAGCATGGAAGAGGGCAGTGGAATGAACAGACCGTACACCTGGAGAGGATGAAGAGAGCCTATCTCCCCATCTCTCCCCTGCTCCAAAGAGCCTAGACTTGTGCATCGGAGGAATATTTGCATGCAAGGCCCATCTGTCCCATAAATTATGACTTGGCAAGACCACTTGGGGGCGGGACAGCTGATCATGGGAAAGCCCACTGGACCCATCAGATGGCAGCTACTGCCCTGATGGAATCCAAGCTGTACTTCTCCTTGTGTTTTGCAGATTGACCAAAAGCAGTTCGACAAAATCCTTGATCTGATCGAGAGTGGGAAGAAGGAGGGAGCCAAGCTGGAATGTGGGGGTTCAGCCATGGAAGACAGGGGGCTCTTCATCAAACCCACTGTCTTCTCAGAAGTTACTGACACCATGCGCATTGCCAAAGAGGAGGTACTGGGGGCTGCGGGAAAAGCTTCATCCCAAGGGGACTCTTGTGGGGCATGAGGGGTGAAAGGAGCGGGTCTTACAAACAGAAGTCTTCTCTAGGGCTCAGGGACCCCAGAAGTCTTTGTGAGGGGAGCGTTTTCCTTTCTCTTATGGCCTTCTTCCTCTCCTTTGGGGTCCTGAGAAAAGCCATCTTGCCTACCTGCCTTTGGGAACCCCAAGCACTGTATAGTAGAGTTTGTCCTAAACCCCCCATTTTCCATGCATCTCCGAGGAGCGACACTCCCTCTTCTGTCTTCTAACACATCCTTGGGGTGGCCCATCATGGAGGCTTCTTGCCACCTGTGGGCTATACCAGTGGATTCACGGCCCAAAGCTGCCTTCACGGCCCCTAGACTGAACTAAAATGACCAGTGTGTTCATTCAAAGAACACATCATGGCTGGAATTCTCTTTGAAGTTTTCCATCAGGAACATCCTTGAAAATGGTGGAAATTGAGGAGACCCCCATAAGAGTGGGATTCTAACTTTGTCTTTCAATCTCACCGCTAATGCGGATGGACACTTGTTCCCACCTAGGGTCCCGGGTGGCTGGACCCTGGGCTGTGGTCTTCTGGGACTCGAGAGAAAGTGAATCACTGAGTACTGAGTACTTCCTGTGTGGGTATTTTATAGACTTTCTCCTAGAGACTTTTATGGGGTTTTTATTTTTATTTTACACAGCAAGGAACAGTGTCTCCCTCCCTCCCACTTCTGGGAGTTATTAGGGAGACATTTTATGGCGTCCTCGTTGATGGAAAACGTCCCACCAAGAGGTCGGGGCACACGGTCCTACAGCTGTACCCCTCAAACACCCTCAGCAATAACTTTCCAAGGAAAACTCGCGAAGTTTTGTCTTGTGTGCACGTCAGAGGGCTGGGGCTTCTCAGAAGCCCTGATGACACTAAGAGAGAGAAGCCTGAAACATGCTTTCAGTTGGTATTTTAAGTTTGGTTTAATCATAATCCATCCCTTCAGATGTCAACCATCAAGTAGCTCAAAAGATCTCTGGAGGTTCTTTTGTCCCCAGTCCTCATTCCTCATGCGTGTGAGCACTCTGGGTAAAACGAAGTCAGTGCTGGCTCAGAGCGGATGCCCTTCCTTCGGACGCACCTCTCACTGACCTTCTTGCAATTCTTCGTAGATTTTTGGACCGGTACAGCCAATACTAAAGTTCAAAAATATCGAAGAAGTGATAAAAAGGGCAAATAGCCTTGAATATGGACTCACGGCGGCCGTGTTCACAAAAAACCTCGACAAAGCCCTGAAGCTGGCTTCTGCCTTGGAGTCTGGAACTGTCTGGTGAGTAGCAGATGTGTGTGTCTCAGCTCTCCTGAGTTGCTGACTTGCTAGCTTCGTGGCCCTTCTACGGACAGACAGCTTCCAGTCACATCATCTGTGCCAAGGGCTGTCTTAGAGCTGTGCCTGTGCTCCGTCCTCATGACCACCTCTGAGATAAGCACCATCATTGTCTCTATTTTACAGGGGAGGACACGGGGACACAGAGAGACTGGGTGATTGGCTTAGGGTCACACAGGTAGTACGTGGCAGAGCAGAGTCCAGAGCCAGCCGGCCAGCTCTGGTACCCCTGCTCCTGACCACCGAGTTGTGCTGCCCCTTGGACTCCCCTCCCTCCACCTTTATTTTTTATTCTGACTCTAAAAGCAGTGCATGGTCTTGTTCAAAGTGAGGACCCAAGTCCCTGCTTCACCAGTCATCCTGCAGATGACATTATCCTCCCTGGAAAGATGATAATGCTGATAAATATAAATTGGGGCTCAGAGAGGCTGAGTAGCAAGCCCAGAATCCTTAGAGCCAAGAAGCAGGAGAGCTTTGAGGTCAGGTCTGGCGCATTTCAAAGCTAAATCTTATTCCCCAGTGCCACAGTTTCCCTCTCCTTTCTTCTCACCTTGACATTCCCTTCTGTCCCGGTGAAAAGTTTTATGCTTAGGAATATTCAAATTTTAGCTTCTGGTGGGAAGGATGAGAAAGCAGAAGTTGAAAATGCGCCGTTTCCATTATTAAAACTTTGACGAAAAGTCATGCTCTAGGCAACCGTCTGCTTCAAGCCCCTGAGAGCCGGGACACCCATGACCCAGGTGGGTCTTCCCCAGGTAATCGTGAGCATCTTTCGTTCTTCCTCTAGGATCAACTGTTACAATGCCATCTACGCACAAGCACCATTTGGTGGCTTTAAAATGTCAGGAAATGGCAGAGAACTGTAAGTACTTGTTCACCGCATGCCTGCCGGCAGGTGAATAAAACACACGCTACATTCGCAGGGTGGGCGGGGCGGGGGGGGGCATTCACACCAGTCCACTGACCTTGCCCCGTGCCCGTGTGTCAGGCCATGTCAGGAAGGCGGGTGGCCCTTTCCCTCTGGGGCTGCGATGGATCCCTGTCATCCCCCGTCTCCTTCCTGCCTTCCCACTTCTGCCGCCCTCCACCTTCATCCTCACGCCGCGCTCCTTCCGGCCCCAGGACCAACTTCTAGCCTCAGCTTCCATGTCCTCCCCAGCAGTTGCCACACATGGGGATGTTCAGTAGACACTTGGCATAGGCTCCCCACATGAGGACAGGGGCGGAACTGGAAAAGTGCACTTTTTGCCAGACTCACACAAACCCCAGCCCTCAGCAAGGAAAATGGGCTCTCTCCCAGGTCGGGCTCTGGCCCTGTCTGCCCCACTAGCAGAGGCTCCATGGACAGACTCGGGGCTACTCTGACTCCTTCTCGGTGCCTCTTTGGGAGACATACTGCCATGTCCTCCGTGGCCCCATCACATCCACCACATACTCCTGGAGGGTTGCTGTCTATCTTGCCCGCTGGGAAGATGAACTCCATAGGCATAGACTCGGACAGGCCTTCTTGTGTCTGGCCCAAGATAAAAGGTCCAGGCACAGAGCTGGACAGAGCGTTCCGGGAGTGGACACACTGTAGTTTCCAGCTGGACGAGGCCTTCTCTCCCACGTCCTTCTTGGTGGTGCTTGGCGTTTTATTAGCCTTTGTGGACAAACAGCTTGTGGGATCCATCTTCCCAGGAGGACCATCTGTGACAACATGCAGGCTGCTCCTGGAACATCTCAGAGGGCCCCGAGCTCTTACTCTCAGTTAAACAGTTTGTGTTATTTATATACAAATGCATTACCTCGTACTTGTTTGTATGTCATCCAGTGGGAGCACTCAGATGCTTCCCCTCGGCTTGGGCAGCTCCCCTTCCAGATTCTTCATAAAGATGTTATGAGAGAATGGGACTGGCTTCCCTCCCCGAACAAATGCTTTTGACCCGTCTCCACGGAACTGGGGTCCCTTCCCCCCATCTTGGTCTTTCTTTCTAATCCATTCCTGAGTCATGGCAAATATGCCAGAAACATCTGAACATCTGAGTAAAATATGTCCATTGGTGTCCCTCTAATTCCTATGACTTGTTTCCCCTTCAGGGAACCTCAGTAAATTCTCAGCCATGAAAACCCTTTGCAGAAATCATGTTTCATCCCCAGATGGCTTGTTTGTGTTCTGTCCTAGGAGCCTCTGCTTCATTTTCTTTTTACATCCTCCTGCTTGAGAGAGACATGAGGCCTGGGCTGGGGTCACCTGGGTCCCTGTCAGAGCCCCCCCACCACTGTAGTACTTATGACCACTGGCACGTGCTGGGCATAGACCTTGCCAGGCTCTGTATGAGCACTTTGCATGTGTCCATTCATGCCACACTCACGACAGTCCACGAGATGGTGTCTTACTTTGTTCTGCTTGCTATACCAGAATACCCCAGACAGGGTGGCTTAAACAAGAGACCCTGGTTCCTCACAATTCTGGAGGCTGGAAGCCTGAGATCGGGGTGCCAACAGATGTGGGGGTCTGGCGAGGTCTCCCCTCCTAGTTCACAGAAGGCCGTTCTCACCATGTCCTCGCATGGTGGAGGGGGTGAGGGAGCTCTCTGGGGGTCTCCTTTATAAGGACACTTATCCTTTTCATGAGGGCTTCCACCTCTCCTAACCTAACCACTTCCCAAAGGCCTCGCCTCTTAATACCTTCCCATTGAGAGTTCTAGTGCTTCAGTGCATGAATTTTTGGTGGACACAAACATTTGGTCCATTGTAGATGGCTACTACCACTAACCACCCTTGTTTCTGGGTGAGGAAACCCAGGGATGCTGGGGAGGTTCCCTGCCTTTCCCGGGTCATACTGCCAGTAAGTGACAGAGGTGCGGCTGAACCCTTGGACCCACCACACCACAACGCGTTGCGCCTTGTAAGGTGTAACCACCTTACAGAGGGGTGTCACCTCTGTAAGCCACGTGGACTGAAGCCAGCCAGGGCATACGTAGTCATTTGTCTCTTCTGATCAGCTGCCTTCAACCAGGCAGGTCATGACCGCTGGGGGGGGACCCAAAACCCCACACAATCCTCCTCTCAGAGGCCAGGCGTGACCTCCTGCTGCAGCAAGAATTTTGGGCCCCACGCAGACGGCCTTGGATGTCCAAGCTGCAGGAAGGGTGCTTGGGGCCCGCCTGACTTCCAGTGTGCCCTGACTCACACGGCCTATGGCTTATTGCTTTCCTCACCTGTGCAACTCCTGTCTCCCTTCCTCCCTGCCCTGATCGCCCTTCCAGGGCCTCAGCAACCCCACCTGGCACAGAGCGCAGCCTGGGTCTCATCCCCACAGCCGGGACTTTTTTCAATGTGGTGTTGTTTTGTTTTGTTTTGTTTTTACCTTTGGCATATATTTTCCCAAGGCTTTTGATAAAGTACTTTAACATTCACAAGGAGCCTGGAAACTGACTTGAAAACCAATTTCTATTTTCACTGGTCTCTGATTAATGTCTTCATGTCGCATCCAGTTCTCCTTTTGTATGCTGGAGCACGGTGCGGGGGATTCCGTGGTTTTCCCCAGCCCGGGACGCCTGGACTGGGCTGGCTGTCTGCCGCCCACCCACAGGCCCCTCCGGGGATCTGTTCCTGTGCACGTCTTGGGGGGAAGCCTCTAAGTTCTCTTCCTCCTGGACACTTTTCTTGCTGGTTTTGCAGTAACAACAACAACAAACAACAACAAAAATCCACACAATCCACACAAGATGTATGGAAAGTGAGGCCTCCCTCCACGGATCCTCAATCCCGTTTGTTAGAGATAACCACTGTTCCATCACCCATTTTGTTTCATTTGTTCACTTAGCCAATATTTAATGAGCACCTTTAGGGCTCGTGCTGGGTTCTGAGCCCAGAACAGTGATCACCCCTCCCCCTTCCAACATTCTGGTGAGGTCGAATAGGAGAAGGGCTGGGCTCATGGATGGCCTTGAGCACCAAGACCGTCATGACTGGGCAAGAAACCCATTAGGAGATACCACAGTGGATCGAGTAAGAGCAGCAAGAACTTGAACTTTGGCAGTGATTGCAAGAATAGGAAGAATAAAGTGATTGGTGTACTTCATCTTACAGAAATGGTTTAAGACTGGACTGTATTAGTTAATGGGCTAATTCGCCGAACACGCTTTCATCATTTGGTTTACTTTTCTTTAGGAAGTTGTTAAATCATTAACTACTTTGAATTTTTAACAACGCAACACTAGATGCTCACTTTTAGAATTACTGTGCATTTTCTTTGCATACAATGGATGTACGTATGTGCATTCTTTTCTGTTTCAAATGAAACGGGAGCAAACTACTTTTTGGTCTTGAGAATGGGCTTTGGATATGCCTCCATTCTTTTTATTAAGGGTCTCCCGTGACGGACTGTTGTGTTATTTCCAAGGGCTTTTGCTATTACAAACCATGGTTCTTCCTTGTGCATAAATCTTTATGCACTAGTGGGAGATTGTTTTCAGAATAAATTCCTAAAATTGGGTAATCTGCCACATGAAAAATGAGCTCCTGCTTTTTTGGTTTGCAAGTCTTTTATTGTGAGGGTGTTGAGCATATTTTTCACACTTACTAGTAATCTGTATTTGTTTTCTGTGAACTGACTATTCATGGCCTTTGTTGATTTTTTCCATTTGATTGTGGGGTTTTTAAATTGGTTTTTAAGAGCTCTTTGTATATGAAGGATACACACTGTTTCTCACACAGTGTGGTGAATGTAATTTTTTTCTAGTTTGTCATTTGTTTTGGGGGGGGTTTGAAATGGATTTTCTGCTCTACAGAAGTTGAATTCACCATTCTGCATATGGCTTTTATATTTTGTGTTATGTTTAGAAAAGATTACAAAATACTTCACTCATTCTCACGGGTTCTTGAACTATTTGTTTTAGGAAGCTACCAAAAAAAATCTCAATGACATATTAATTAAGAAATAATAATATTACTTTCTACCCTTTTTTTACCTGTACATACAGCTCTATAATAAATCATCTCCAACCATTATAACGACAAGGAGGCGATGGTATGCCCGTTTTAAAGATCATGAGTTGGAGGCTTAGGGAAGGCTAAGGACCTGCCTACATAGGTCTAAGCCAGTGGTTCTCCAATTTGAGCTGTATCAGAATCCTCTGGCTTGTTAAAACACAGATTTCTGGGCCCCACTGCAATAGGTGTATTAGTTTTTTATAAAACAACATAAATGTATTACCTAATACGGTTCTGTAGGCTAAAAATCTGACGGTCTCACTAAGTTGAAATCAAGGTGTGTGCAGCGCTACATTCCTTTCTGGGGACTCCAGGGAGGAAATATGTTTCCTTGCCTTTTCCAGCTTCTAGAGGCTTCCCACATTCCTTGGCTGGTGGTCCCTTCCTTTATGCTCAAAGGCAACACTGTTGCAGCTCTCCGAACCTGCTTCTGGGGTCTAATTTCCTTCTGACTCCCTCCTTCTGCCTCCCTTTTACCCTCTTAAGGACCCTTGTGATACTTCGGGCCCACCCAGATAATCCAGAATAACCTCCCTATTTCAAAGCCAGTTAATTGGCAACTTTAATCCCATCTGCAACCTTAATCCCCCTTTGCCATGTAACCTAACACCGGTTCAGAGGATTGACACGGGGGCATTATTCTGTCAACCCCAGTACCTCAGGGGCAGGGTAGGGGGCCTGAGAATCTGCATTTTGTGCAAGGTCTGAGATGTCGCTGAGGCTTTGAGACCACACTTGAGAACCACAGATCGAAGGGATGACATGGGACTCTACAGACCCTCCAGCGGCCACCTCAATTTCTACCTCTTTTCCCCAACAAGAACACATTTTTATTTACTTAACAGCAGAGCACGTGTTGTAGAGGTATTTATTTATTTATTTATTTATTTATTTATTTATTTATTTCATGATGTGGAGGCATTTAAACATACCCAAAGCCGTATCTCAGTTCTGGGAAGTGGAGCTGCCCTGAGGATGGCCCATGACACCTGAGAAGGGTCACCGGGCTCTGCAAGACGTAAAGAAGGGACAGATACCAAAGAGGCAAACTTAAAGGTTGTGGTCCCCCACTTGTGTCCGGTCTGTGCTAATGCCCGCCGCCCTCGCTGCTCTGGGCTGGCCTTACTCCTTTTACAACTGGTTGCCAGCTGTGGGCTCTGAGGTCGACTCCAGGCCCCCCGTGTCCCTGTTCCTTGTGGGTCCTCTGGCCACATCCCCCGCTCCCCTCCTCGTTCACCCACGTGGACCCTCTTCTCGCTCTGTACTCCCCACCCAGGGAGTCCACCTCTTTTTTCGCCCCCCATCCTTTTCATTCGTTAAAGGCAAACACTTAGTCCTTCTGAATATTTCCAAAGCATCACACATCAAAAAACTTGATATTTAAACTGAAGTCATACATCCAGTTACTTAAACGCACTAAAGGTGTGACGCTCCTGGCTATTTCCCTATTAAGTCATCACATTCTGACTGTGGGCACCGACTCCACGCTGCCCAACAGAGTAACTGACCAATCAAGCGTTAGACCACAGTTGGCAATGAAAGGCGAGGTGACATGCCCGTTTTACGTTCTCCTCTTTCCTGTGATCGCAGTGGTGAATATGCGCTGGCTGAATACACAGAAGTGAAAACTGTCACCATCAAACTCGATGACAAGAGCCCCTGAAGGAAAGGCGGGCTCCTTCCTCAAACCTTTGACAGCTGAATGTGGCAGATGGAACTTTGCCGAAGAAAACCTGCATTTCCCGCCTTCCCGGGTTACTCTGCTCTGGAGACTTTAAATCTACTGGATTTGAACGATTTCAATTTTCCTCTCACACTCCTGTTTCATTGACCAATATGTTGTGTATGTGGCATTGCAGTCCTGCCTGGGGATGGAGCTAGTGGCCATTTCCGTTTTTCCCTTTCAACCAGGTCCCCCAGGGACAGTGAAGAGGCTCAGGGCGAGGCCAACAGGAAGTGGTATTTGAAGTCTCCAGCGGTCACTTAAAAATGTTTTGCCGACTCTGACTCCAGTAAGAACTTGGAAAAACTCCCGGCTTGTTCTGCAAACAGGGCCCTGCACCTGTGGCCTCCTTGGGGTTACCTGCCCACAGAACGAGCCCCTCCCACCAGTTAGTGGGAAAGAAACAGGACTAAATTCAAAACCAAACAAAAACAGGATTGTGAGGACCCAGTGTGGGGAGCTTTGGGGAAGCAAGTACCGTGGAAAGGTACTGAAGGACTTGGGTGTGAAAGGGCGTGGGTCTTCAAGGACTGCCTCTTGACATTGACCATGGGACTCAGCTTAAAACCCAAACTCCTTTTGGAATATGACCGAATCAACGCCCAGCATGCTTCTCTAAAACTATGTCATGGTCTACCTTAACCAAGGCACTTTCTTAGGCAGAGAACATCCCTAGTGTTACCATCACTGCTGAGGACTCAGTACTCTGACATGACGACAGCATGGCAACCGCATTTTACAAATCAGAGCCATAATTCACTTTTACAAATTATGAATTTCTACCACTTGCATTAATGGTTTATGATCAGCCTGTGTAGCTCTCTTTGTCTCCAGTTTGGTTATCTATTTTAGATTAGCAAAACATGCACAACTGGAAAGGCTGTTGTTTTAATACAGCCTGGTTTTTTAAAGTCCTATTTTGATGTTAATGATTAATTAACAAATAACACCCAGACTCCATGGAAGAACTGGGTCTCCTACTAAAGTGGCCTGAGTACTGCACTAACATGTTGTGAATTTTTCTTTTCCTCTTTATATGTGCAAATGCTGTGCAATCCCAAGTTTTAAAGTGTTCCCCTGATCAATTTTAAAAACAAAACCAAACATAATTGCATTATTTGGATACTTTCACTGTTATTAACTAGTTACTTTTCTGATGGTGCTTATATTTGGGAATTAAATTATGTTTATAGAATTAAATTGGGGGAGGGCAATAATAAAATAAACATCAAAACTAGTGTATGGATGAAAGAAAGTCCCATATGGAATGGGGTTGTCATTCTTGTCAGAAATAGGCAATATGCAATTCACCTTCTCTACATCAGTTAACACTTATCACTCAAACTGTCAGCAACTTGCTAAGTCAGGAGTTGACTTCATACACTGAATTTTCAGGATTTTATCTCAAGCAACTATAGACACTAACCTTGATAGTAATACATTAGAGGGTTCTTATTCTCTCATTGTACAATAATGCCTTTAATATGAAATGCTACATTATTTATAATTGGTATAGTTAATGTATCTTTTTATAGTTGTAAGTAAAAACAGAGGTGGTATATCTAACCTTCTGTAATATACTGTATTTAGAAATGGAAATCTATATAGTATTAGATTTCACTTCTTTTAAGGTTTATTCCTGTGGTATGGTTTCAAAAAACAATCTATTGGCCTCGGAATTCTGACCCCAACTACAGATTGTGTCTGACAATACAACAATGATAAAATAAAATCGGATATTTGACAAACATTCTGTTTTTTCATTTAACAACAAGACGCATTTTAATTCTGGGGCTGGCCTTTCTCTTTCTCAGAGCTTCTGTACAAAATGGCTTGTAATAAAGCAGTATTGATAGCTTAGGATTCAAATTCAGCTTTAGTCTGGGCGTGAAACACACTGGCATCGGTTTGTGGATGGAGCAGGCAGGGAGCTCGTCCTCAGAGGCTCGGCATCTTAGTTGGTGAAGGGTAAGCTGTCACCTAAGCTGCCCGAGTGCCCTTTTACTAGTGAGCGGGTGAGTCCAGAAGATGGTGGGGAGGACTGCACCGGGGTTTAGGGAGAATATTGCATCCTGCTATCGTGTGCACGCGTTTCCATTTTTGTCACAGGGATCTGGGTGTTTGGGTTTAGCCTACCTTAAGTTTCTAAGAAGCCTCAATCACCAAGCCATGAGTTGATGCTGAGGTTGGATCAAGAACATCCCTTGTGGGCGCCTGGGTGGCTCAGTTGGTTAAGCGACTGCCTTCGGCTCAGGTCATGATCCTGGAGTCCTGGGATCGAGTCCCGCATCGGGCTCCCTGCTCAGAAGGGAGTCTGCTTCTCCCCCTGACCCTCTTCCCTCTCGTGCTCTCTATCTCTCATTCTCTCTCTCTCAAATAAATAAATAAAATCTTTGGAAAAAAAAAAAAGAACATCCCTTGTACTTGGTTAGGTCCATCAAGTTACACCTGTGTATATTTGATGTTAATCATCCTTGATCACTCTATGGGGCAGCAAGGTGCCACCTTTTAAGAGAACACGTAAAGGAGGCTTGGATCAGATCTCTCTTAATGTATGCGCTTACGTATGTATTAATTTATTTAGAAAACTTTAATTTCTCAATCCAAATGTGAGCAGAACATTCTAGGAAAATGGCCTTTTCCTTCAATTGGTTTACTCTCTGAAGGGAACCATTCTGGGGACACAGACTGGCTGTCATGTATGGGCATGTGCACGCGTGCACCTGTGTGCTTGTGGGGGGGGCATAGGAGGTGGGCGCATTCTCTAAAAGTGGACCCTTGTGAATGCCTTAGCTTCTCCCGATAATGGACAAAGAATTTTTACTGTCCTTGCTCCTACATGTATCTGACTTGAGCTTAAACGTGGATGATAAGGGATTTTTTTATAAAGTGTCAGGGAAGAATGTCTGAGGAAACTAAGTTTACAGCTGAAGAAATGACTAGAAGGCAGTGGGGGTGGGGTGAGAGGGTAGCAATCAGCCACTAGGCCTTCAGAAGGCAGAAATGTTAGGTTGAGGAGGTAGCTTCCAGTTGATTCCACCTTAGAAGGGGTCATTCCAACGTGAGATGATGAGAACCTGGGTATGTAGAGCAAAAGCTAGAGGACCACGGGTGCGGGAGGCGGGGGGGGGGGGGGGGGGCCGGGGGACGGGGGGTCAAGAAGCAGCAGGAAGAGATCTTAACTGACCTGTAATAACCTTCCCATGCAAACCTGTGATTAACTAATGCCTAATGAATAGAGTTAAATGCTGGGATGCAACCAGCTCAAAACAGTCCACTCGGCTGTTTTTTTTTACATTGGAGACATTCCCTAGCCTATTCCCAAACTCATGTAAAAGGGAAGCTGAGTTGCCCCAGCCTCATCGGCCACAGGAGCTCCGGTGTCCGCCCGGGCAGTGGGCATGCTGTTCCTCACGGTGCCGCTAGATGGCGCGGCCGCGCGCCCTGGAGGCGCCCCGCCGCGATTGCCCGGCTCACTCAGCACTGCGACGCCACGCCCTGCAAATTATTAGGGACTTTTCGGTAGCAATCACACTGCTGCTTTTTGAGTACTGGAATTAGGGCCGAAGTATTGAGGACAGGATTGCAAAACCGCGCCCACCCTTTTGCAAGGGCGTTCCGTGGCAGGAGAGCTGGAGGCCTCTTGGGAGCAAAGCAAAGCCGCCCGGTGGTGCCCTTGCCGAGGGGCCACTGCTCAGAGCGCTCGCGAGGTCGTGCGGGGGTCGTGCGGGGACCCTGCGTCTGCCCGGCCTTTGTGAAATGGCAGTGAGGGTGGTGGGCATTTGTCTCCGTCTTGCGCTAAATCCTGGGAAGGTTCCAGTCCTAACATTACGTGAGAAGAGTCTAGTGCGCGGGTCCTGCCAGGCTGCAGAACCATCTGCTTTTTTTCTGAGCAGGCTTCCGTTTCTGGGGTTGGCACGTGGAGCCAAATCTGATGGCTGCCCGCAGCATGGACGTGCGTCTCTATGATCTGCCTTCGGATAATGGCCTCAGTGGTGTGATGAACATACTTATATTAAGTCGAAACATAACCAATTGCCAACATTCCGCCCTGGGTTATCTACTCCCCCGCCCAAAACACCCCACACAATTTAAAATGATTCACCAAATAGTGACATCTCTATATATACATCCATAATTAAATAACTTCATGTGACGGGAGGGGCACAGTTCGCAAAATACGAAAGCTTTAAAAATATGCCCTATACGGAATCGTACATAAATGAATATTCCCTGATTTTTAAATATTTACTTCGAGTCTACGCCTAATACAAGTCAGAGGTTAATCGTTGGATTTTGCCCGCCGAGCAGAGCCGAGGGGCAGTGAAAGCTGGGCTGAGCTGCGAACTGACCAATCTTGTCGCCGCGCCTGCCCCGCGAGGACAAAGCAGGGTACCCAAACCTGGAGGAGAACTCGCGCTACAAGGGCTCACGGGCCCCGGCTTCCCCGAGGCGGGAGCGGTGCATCTGGGCACCTCCGGCTTTCGGCTAGGGAAACTGAGGCGGGCCACCACAGGGATCCCCGCCCCCCTCCCCGTGCCCGTGCCCGTCGCGGGCCGGAGCAGCTGCGGCCGATCCTCGCCCTGCGCGCTCTCCGCGCCGCCCGCCCGCGGGCCGCAGGATTGAGGAAGTGCGTCTGGGCCCGGCCCGGCCCCGGCGCGCGCGGCCGGAGGCGCAGGGGGCGGAGGGCAGGGGGACGGCCAGGCCCCAGCCCGCTGGTGTCCGCCGCGCCCGGCCCCGCGCGCCCA